TGAAGTGATTATGCTGCTTGTCATGTTCTCTGTTCTCTCTTATTATGCTTTATTTATGTATTTTTCTATCAGATAGAGGCCGATTTTAGGAGAAAGGGCGTGTAGTGAATAGAGAGAGAGAAAAAACGTTATTTGTTGTCACAGCCACGTAGGCATTTTGTGTGTACATGTCCGTGCATGTGTGTGTGCATGTGCGTATATTTATTTATGTATGTATGTCCGTATGTATATATGTACAAATGTATGTATTTATGTATGTAGGCCTATGTGGGCGTTCTTGTGTAGAATGTAATCAGGTTAGTTTTGATTCGCGATTCGGAATATGCAACAGCGATATGCAAATTTTGGGTCGGCGCTGCAAGGTGGAAGCCAGTAAATATCACGGGAGACAAGTTTGGACTATTATTGGCATGTGTGTTTGGGAAGCCCGGAAAAGAGATCAATGGGCGAGATATTTCCTGGGGGAGGGGGGAGGTTTGGGTGAATTAGGAAGGGTAGAGTGGGGGCTCTCGCACGCACGCACATACGCAAGCACACGCACGGACGAATGTACGAACGCGCACGCACGCACTCACTCACTCACTCACTCACTCACTCACTCACTCACTCACTCACTCACTCACTCACTCACTCACTCACTCACTCACGCCAAGAGAGAAATAGAAACAATGACCAAGACCAAGAAAAGGATTAAAAAGAAAAAACAAAAAAAATCAGCTAAACCAAATAAAAACGGAAACAGAAAAAAGAGAACGCAGAAGATAAAGAGGAATGGCCGAAAAAAGAGAACGCAGAAGATAAAGAGGGAATGGCCGAAAAAGAGAACGCAGAAGATAAAGAGGGATGGCCGAAAAAAGAGAACGCAGAAGAAAGAGGGAATGGCCGAAAAAGAGAACGCAGAAGATAAAGAGGGAATGGCCGAAAAAGAGAACGCAGAAGACGAAGAGAATGGCCGAAAAGAGAACGCAAAGATGAAGAGGAATGGCCGAAAAAGAGAACGCAGAAGACGAAGAGGGAATGGCCGAAAAAGAGAACCGCAGAAGATAAAGAGGGAATGGCCGAAAAGAGAAACGCAGAAGATAAAGAGGAAATGGCCGAAAAGAGAACGCAGAAAAAAAGGGAATGGCCGAAAAAGAGAACGCAGAAGATAAAGATGGAATGGCGAAAAAGAGAACGCAGAAGATAAAGAGCCTAAAAAGAGAACGCAGAAGACGAAGAGGAAATGGCCGGCCTTTCTTCTGCCCCGACGGACCCCCCGCAGCGCCCCCGGCTCGCGCGGTTCGGGGCAGTCGCGTTTCGGGGGAGATTGCGGGACGGGGCGGGGAGGGGGTGGGGGGGTAGGGGATGGGGTTGGGGTTGGGGGGAGGGGGAGAGGGGAGATTGCGGAACGAGGCGGGGTTAGGGGGAGGGGGAGGGGAGCGAAAGGGGGAAGAAAGGGGATGTGATCGCGAACGTGTCCTGGAGAGAGGGAGTGGGGGAGAGGGAGAGGGGAGGGAGAGGAGAGTGGGAGAGGGTGTGGGGAATGGGAAAAGGGATTGTGAGAAGAGGGAGAGGGGGAAGGAAAGGGAGTGGGAGGGAGAGTGGGAGAGGGGAGGGGAAAGGAGAGGGAGTAAGAGTGAGAGAGAGAGAAATGCAAAGAAATACTGCTCGGGAGTATCCGAAGTTTCAGAGGGGAGTAACGAGCGAGAGAGCGAGAAGAGAAGAAAAAACAGCCAAGAGTCGGGGAAATGAGATAAGAAAGAGAGAAGGAAAAGATTACTCACCCCCCCACCCCCCACCCCACCCCCAAAAAGAAGAAGAAGAAGAAGAAGAAGAAAAGTTTTCGCGCCAGAGATTGACTCGCGCAGGACGGAGAGGGTGAAGGGCGAGGAAGAAGAGGAATGGACGATAAAAGTAGCAGCAGAGAGAAAAAGAGAGAGAGAGGGAGGAAGGGAGGAAGGGGGGAGAGAGGGAGGGAGTGGAGGAGAGGGAAAAGGAAAGGAGAGAGGGAGGGAAAGGAGAAGGAGAGGGAGGAGATTTGAGAGAGGAAGGGAGGGAGATTGAGAGAGAGAGAGAGAGATAGAGAGAGATGAGAGAGAGAGAGAGAGAGAGAGAGAGGAGAGAGAGGAGAGTGAGAAGCGAAGATGAGAGAGAGAGAGCGAGAGAGAGAGAGAGAGGAGAGAGAGAGAGAGAGCGAGAGAGAGAGAGAGAGAGGGACTCGAGGGAAGGGGCGGGGGGCGGGGGGGGAGGACGAGAGTAAAGGCTTCATTTCTTTCCATTGACACCGACGCCCACAATCCCCTCGGGTGGCCGGAGTGGATTCTGCGGCGGGAGGAGGCTGGGATTGACGCGGCCGCTTTTTCCTCCTCTTCTCTTCTTCCTCTCTTTATCCTCCTTTTTCTTCCTTTCTTTTCGTTTTTTTTTTCTTTCTTTCTGTTCGTCTTTTTTTCTTCCTTTCTTTTCGTCTTTTTTTCTTCCTTTCTTTTCGTCTTTTTTGCTTCCTCTCTTTATCGTCCTTTTTCTTCCTTTCTTTTCGTCTTTTTTCCTTCCTTTCTTTTCGTCTCTTTTTTCTCTCCTCTCTTTATCCTCCTTTTTCTTCCCTTCTTTTCGTCTTTTTCTTCCTCTCTTTTCTCTATTTTCCTCCTTTTTCTTCCTTCTTTTTCGTCTTTTTTTTCTTCCCTCTTTATCCTCCTTTTTCTTCTTTCTTCCTCTCTTTATCTCCTTTTTCTTCCTTTTCTTTTCGTTCTTTTTTTTCTTCCTCTCTTTATCATCCTTTTTTCTTCCTTTCTTTTTCGTTTCTTTTTTTTCTCTTTTCTCTTTTCCTTTTTCTCCTTTTTTTCTTCGTCTTTTCCTCTTTTTTTCGTGGTTGATGTGAAGTTCATTGCTTGGCGGAGGGTGGTGCTTGAAGGGACGTGAGAGGCGAAGGGGGGAAGGGGAAGGGGGGGGAAGGGGGGAAGGGGGGGAGCGGTTGGTTGCCTTGGCGCATTGGCAGCCTTCATTTTTTTTTTTTTTTTTTTTTTTTTTTTTTTCAGTGAGCAGATCGACGGTTATGTCACTTAGGTTGGGGATGCTATCGACAGCTCCTCTCTCTCTCTCTCTCTCTCTCTCTCTTCTCTCTCTTCTCTCTCTCTCTTCTCCCTCTCTCTCTCTCTCTCTCTCTCTCTCTCTCTCTCTCTCTCCCTCCTCCTCTCTCTCCCTCCATCCCTCTCTCTCTCTCTCTCTCTCTCTCTCTCTCTCTCTCTCTCTCTCTCTCTCTCTCTCTCTCTCTCTCTCTCGGTTTTCCTCCAACTCTCTTCTCCCTTCCTCCTCCCTTCTCTCCCTACCCCCCCTCCTCCCGGTCTTCCTCCAACTCTCTTCTTCTCCCTTCCTCTCCTCCCTTCTCTCCCTACCCCCCTCCTCCCCTCGAAGGGAGAGTCA